CCTGGATGGAAGGGGAGATTGGGGAGAATGGATCCATGTATATGTGTGGCTGAGACCTTCACAGTCCATCTGAAACTATCACAACATTGATAATTGGCTATACCCCAGTACTTTGGCTACCTGAGTGAATAGCTGACTCCTTGGAAAAGACCTTGATGCTGGGAAAGATTGACAGCAGGAGGAGAAGGTGGTGACAGAGGATGAGATGTTGAATGGCATCACCAACTCAATGAACATGAGTGTGAGATGGGGACGGACAGAGAAGCCTGGTATGCTGAAATCCAAGGGGTTGCAAAGAGTCAGACATGACTTAGCAACTGGACAACAACAATGCAAAATAAAAAGTAAAAAAAAAAAAGCTGTTTTTAGTGCCTCCCAATAAGAGGTGACAATGGCACTTCAGGGAGACAGAGACGGGTGCCCTAGAGCAGGTCTCTGGGAGGGCAGGGGGCTGGTGGTGAGGGTCAGGCGCACTGCCTGGTGGGAAGTCAGTCCCCAGGGGCCTGGCTGTGTGATCCCAGATTGCCATGTTCAGGGTTGTCAGGGCAAAGCTAGAACCCCGCTCCTGCTTACAACCCATGTGTCCTCGAACTGAGAACCTGAATGCCTGCCATTCTCAGAGGTCCAGGAGACCACAATCCCAAGGTTCCCCCAAAACCCCAGGGTCCCTGTGTTTGCACAGCAGCACCCAGGGTCCTTCAGGCCTTGGTGTGAGCTGCTGACGTGGCCAGGGAGCAGCCCCCGCTGCCTCTGCCCCTGTGAGCTGGTCTCGACAGCCGCACAGCCCAGAATGAACGGCCGTGGCAGACACACAGGGACACACACCCTGCTTCACTTGAGCACGGAAAACATTCATTAAGCATTTTAGAGGACAAGGGCAAAAAGAAAAACACTCATTAGAAGCAGAAATAGTTTCCAAATGAGCCATACAGAATCTGCCAGCAAGTCTGGCCTGAAGTGAGGGCCTGGCCTCCTGGGGGAGGAGAGTACAGAGGGGGTGTGTGGGGCCCAGGAGGGGGACACAGGAGGAGGCAGGGAGGCTGGAGCCTAAGCACTGGAAGATTCCCAAATAGGAGAGGCCACAATGGCAGAGATGGAGGTTGACGCCCCTTGCTGTCTGGCCCAGCCAGCAGGTGGGGCTACACCTCTGTGGCCCCAGCAAGACTCAAGGCCCAGGAGGCTGCAGCGCTAACCATGATCAAGGCCGTGGGAGGCAGAGCAAGAAGGAACAGGGAGGCCTGATCCCAGCCCGGCTCCATCGCTGACCAGTTGGGTGACCCTGGGTCTCACCCTGACCTCTCTGGGCCTCAGCATCTATCTAGGAAATGCGGCGGCTGAGCTGGGGGCAGCCTATGAGGGCCTCACCAGCTGGGACACATGGAGCCCTCAGTGGTGCTGGTGATGTGAGGAGCGGAGGTTGGGCTGGCCGGGCACAGGGGCTTCTCGAGGCCCCAGGGCAGACCCCCCAAAGGCCCTGGAGAAGTGGCCTGAGCTTGGGTCCTCTGGGGGTCTCGAGATGCTGCCCATGCAGGTGACCATGTGGTGCCCGCAGAGCACGGCAATGACCTTACATGCCCTCCACTCCAGGGGAGGACTCCAGTTCCTCAGTGTCTGTCGGCTCACATCCTCATAAAATATTTATCAGCAATGGAGAGAGAGAGGGGGGTGTCACACCCTCCCCGAAGCCAGGTCACAGGGAAACTGAGTGCCGCATCAGTTCCTACACTTCCCTCACTCCTCCTGTTCCCCGACCCTCTGCTTCTAGCTGGGGCAGCCACCTCCATGCAGGCTCGGACATGCTGGCCCCTCCCCTGTCCTAGTAGCAGAGCGTGGTAACAGGGGGGATGTGCTGGCCCCTCTTGATCTGTGCTGGGCACTCGGGGCAGACGGAGGAGGCAGGGGGCTCCCTCAGGAAGATGACAGTCTGGTTGGAGAGGAAAACCAGGCCTGTGTGGGTGGGATCCCCATAGTGCTGACAGGCCTTGGAATTATCCATGTCACTTTGAGGATCTCAGAGGCAGGAGTGAGCTCGCAGAGGCTGCCTGGCAGAAGATGGCCACTCAGCTGGCACGGCAGCTGCTGGACAGGTGGGGCTGCTCCCAGAGGAAGCTCTTCTTTATCCAGAAGCCCTCCTTCCCTCCTTCCTTGTCCTCCAAGCCCCCTTCCTCTCATGGGGGCCCCCACCCCAGCCAGCCTGCTCACCTGGGCAGTGGGGTGTGAGAGGCATGGCCGGTCTAGGCACCATTAGCCAGCAGCATGTCACGGGTCCCCTAAGGGACCTGCTGGCTTCTTTGTTGCCACATTGGCACCAAGCTCCTCCTTTCTCAGCTCTCATCACATCAATACCCTGATACCTTCACTCCCACCCAAGCCTTTTTCTTGGTAATTGGTGTCAGAGGCAAACTTGGGCCGATTTCCATCTGAGCCAGTGTCTCATGGCTTCTTTCCTATTTAATAGCAGAGAAATTAAACCTGGCCATGCATCATTATCCTGATGGTGTAATTAGCATCAGAACAACTGCCCTGAGCTGGGCAACTGCCACACTTGCTCTGGGGCTCCACATGGGCCCTGCACTGTGCCTATTGCTTTGGTTTTTGCTCCTTAACATCCTCCCACCCGGGACTGACCGGGCACGGGCACCCCTCCCCACATCCATGTACATCCTCACTGTGTCACCTGCTTACAGAAACAAGAATGATGCTTGAGGATGCAGAGGAGAAGGTGGAGAGACAATCCCCCAGGGACCAGGACAGGAAGGCTCAGATCAGCCCTGGAGAAACCAGATCATGTGATCCTGGCCTTTGGGGAGACTCAGGTTCCCCGGCAGCTGAAAGGTAGCAAAGCCCAGATGCATGTGGATCACCCCAGGTACATGACCAGCACACAGTGGCCAGGACCAGAGCACCAGGGAGGGGAGGGCTGAGACAGAGGAGCAGGATCCCTCCTACTTCTTTTGTGGTCCCAGGAGAAAGGCGAGGGCAGCCCAGTCTAACAGTGAGCCCGCTCCAGGGGCCTGAGTGACTGGAATCCAATTTGGGAAGCAATTGGCTCAGACATGGCTGCTTGGAGATGTCTGAGATCACGGAAGGAGAGGGAAGGAGATCCACCAAAATTTTAAAGCTATCGAAGCCTGAGGGAGTGGAGGCAGGGGTGCAAGAGAAGGGCCTAGAGAGGGAGCAGCCTGGGAGAGCAGACAGCTGGGGCTGCCGGACGGGCTGGCTGGCAGGAAGTCGGCTCCGGGGATGGATGCTCCACTAGCAGGAGGGCAGTGGCCAGGCCAGGCAGAGGAAAGAGGTACTCTGATGGGGCCTGAAAGGTACTCTGATGGGGCCTGAAAGCAGAAAACGCCAACACAGGACCTGGGGTTGGAGACCCAGGAACAAGGTCATGAGACTGCTTGGGGTGACAGTGATTCTCTGGCAGCCATAGTGCAACCCTGGGGACAAAGCAGATTCCAACTCCACCAGATCTCTGCTCTCAAGGAGGAACCCACACCCCACCCCTGAAGCTGTGTAGAAGACCCTTTGCAAGATGGAGAAATGCCTTGGGCCCATTCTTAGTTACAAGACCTGGAAAGAATAACCCCAGGACCACGTTGAAGGTCCCTTTCACAAGGACACAGGCCTGAGCAATTAGGCAGGTGTTACTATGCCAACCTCCAAGGGGGACAGACCCTAGGAAGCTGACCCTGGTCAAAGTGTCGAGGAAGTTGTGTCTGCAAATTAGCACCTCCTCCCTTGGACAGTCTCAGGTGCTACCCATTAATGAACGTACTGAACCACAGACAGTTATTTCTGGGGGCTAAAGAGAACAGAAGTGTTTGAAGCCAAGGGGCTTGATTGGTGGAGGTAAGGCAGATCTGATGGGCAGAGGGCTGGGTCTAGGTGTGGATGCTGAGCTGCTCTGTGCCTAGCAGACGTCTTCCAGGCTGCCTTTTCTGGAACCAGCTGCCCTTCTGCACTCCATGGCATTTGCAACTCTCTTCTGTCAGAACACGTGCCATGAACAGTGGTGGGGGCGGGGGGAGACTTGCTTTTCCATCTGCTGGACCCCTTCCAAGTGCATCCTTCAGGTCAAGGAGCTCCCCAAACCCCTGGGGCCCAGGCTAAGTTGAACCAAAGTGGATACAGAAAGTAAGACCTATGGAGGGCAAGACCAGAGGCAGCAATTCCTGGGCAGAGGCAATAGCAAGAAGTTGCGGTGATGCAGACAGGGCCCCCCAAGGAATGGGTTCTACAGAGAGCGGCTGAAAATCACAGGACAGGGTTTGGAAAGGACCCAGGTCCAGGCTGACTGGGTGGATCCCTCAGACCCTTCCACTCACACAGCAACACCTTCTACTAGGCAAGATCATCATCAACATAACCAATCGGCCAGAGGCTGGGCTGCCTCAGGGCAGTGCATCAGCACCATGGACAGAGGATCCGCCAGGCTTCCCTTGGAGCTTCCGGATTGGGTGGCTCCTCCCTCCTCTCTCCACACTGCTCCACAGCAGACATCACACATCGATTACAGAGCCCCTTCCCCCAGAGCCAGGGGCTCCTGCTCTGCCAACAACAGTCCCAATCAATCCGACAGCAAAAGGTGTGGCTCTGGAAGCCGATTTTACACGCCCGCCGACGACAACGAACCCATGTGAGAAAACAAATATGTGGTTTTCAGCCAAAAGGCTTGTCTCAGTCAGGGGCACGGTGCCCAGCCTTCCCTGTCCTCATTCGGAGGAAACTGAGGTACCCTGGAAGCACCTGGAGGGATTTTATCCTCTCGAGGCAGGCAAGGACTCTTCCCGCCAGAGTTTCTCCTTTTCCTGGTACCTGACATTGCACCGGGCCAACTGCATAGCTGGACTCAGTGCCACACGCCAACATTCCTAAGGAAAGCTGACCAGGGCTCCTGGGCCTGAGGTCGCCGCACACAGGAGCCCCGCCCGACTCAGCCCCCTCCGCAGACCCTTCCCCAGAACCAGAGACGGAAGAAGAATCCAGTCCCAGCCACCTACCTGAAGGAGCCAGTAGCACCTCCGGTGGAAGGTGGGGATGATGGAGGAATGGACATAGCAGCCGTACAAGCACTAGGGAGAGAGGAAAAACGAGAATTCAGTTGGAAAGAGGGAAAGGAGGGACAGAGAACAGAGAAGGAGCAAGAAAGGGCCACGCACACTGCCACCACCCCAGGGAGACGGAGGGGTGGGTGCCTCCATGTCTGGCTCTAGGACCAAGGCTAAGGTCTGGGATACACCTAAGAAGCACAGTTGGGACATCCCAGTGGGCAACACAGATGGACAGCTGGGGTGCTCACCCTTGTGGGGTCATGGGGACACGTGGGAACCCAGATAAGCCAGGGGCCAGGAGAATGCACATATGTGTACATTATGCCCATCACTTTAGGGCGGTTACCCTGGGAGTTACCCTGGAGCTCATGCAGAGAGTCTGGGTTAAGACCCCTTGGTGTTCAGGGAGGGACTGAACAGACACACCTTCCAGACCTTTCCTGGTCAAGGAGAGCCCTCCCTGGTGGCCCTGGCTGGGAGGAGCTTGAAGGCTAGAGGGCTGGGAGGAGGCAGCACTCCCTCAGACTAACCTCTGGAGCCTGAGACCTCTTGTGCACACCCCCCACTTTCTGGTTTTTATTTAGTTTTCTATTCATACATGTGCTTGTTGTAAGTATCAACCTGCATCTTTTGCAGATGGATCTGGTTTTAAAAAGCAGCTCGAGGCAGGATGAAGAAGGTGGGTGAGGATTCAAGTTCAGGAACAGCATAGAGACGGGACATGAGGAGGATCAGCCCTCATGGAGCTTGTCTCTTAGATCCAGCTGAGCTGACCAGGACCCGGGGAGGGGCACAAGTCAGGGCAGCACATCATGTAGTGGGCGCTGTGGGGGCTGGCCTGCCAGCAGGGCTGAAAAAAAAGGAGCTAATGAGAACAGTCAGATCCCTCTTGAAACAACTCTCGGAGTCTGAGCGGGAGGAAATTTGTCTTTTCTTTTGGAGTCTCCAATTCCAAATTAGAATGAACTCCTTCTATTTTCCTTGGAGTTCCCCGCTTCCCAAAGCATGGGTTCCAGAAGGGGCAGAAAGAGAAGGCAGGCCACAGAGCCTCAGAGGACGAAGGACAGGAAGGTCTTCCCCTCCCTTCTCACCGAAGTCCCCCAACACCCACACCAACTCTGCAGAGAGCAATGACCGGCAGCTCTGCGTTTACAGCTTTCATCAGTTATTTTTCACACCCCCAAAAAGACCAAGTGCAATTTGGTTCAACTAGGAGTCCATTTGAGCCCTGCCTGTCTGATTAACAGAGCTGAAAGAGAAATCATTTTGGACTATGGGACTCTGGCTGCAAGAAAATCAGATTTCCAATATGTTAGAACTTTTACAGATTGCTGTCAGCTGGGACTTAAGCCCTGTACAAACCAAACAAACAAAGCAGAAATTAATTTAAACGATTCCCTTGCAATTCTTGCCCACAAAATGTGTATTTATTATTAAGAAGGCAATATTCTTTTCTGACTTTTCTGGTTTTCAATAAACTGTGTTTCTTTCTTTAAAAAAAAAAAACTATTTTTTTGATAGCTCATTCCTTCCTGCCAAAGGAGCCTCGTGTTTGGACAGTTTCTATGAGCGTTTGGTTGCAGTGGAGGAGCAAGCCACCTGCAACTTACATCAGCCCCTTCATTTGGATGCGGCATGTCCTTGTGGGCAGTTTCATTGCTTTCAGTCAGGCCATGAGCCGGATGGAGGGAGACATAAACTGTTGGGAGAAGTCTCTCCCTTCCTTTGAAATGAAAGCCTCTTTGTGCACTGATCATCCTCTCGAGAATTTGCAACGACTGCCCCTCTTCACCTGTCTCTTTTTCTTTCCACCGCTTTTCTTTGAACTTGAAAAGAACATGGCCGTTTGCAGCACCATCTGCCCCTCAATTAACTGCGTTCTGTCTGGGTTGGTCTGCAGCATCCTTGCACCAAGTGCTAGGTAATCACCGAGAGTTTACCAAACACCTACTGTGTTTCCCTCCCATGAGAGCACGGCCCCTCTCCCCAGCCATCCCAGCAACCCCGTCTTGGGCACCCTCCCCTACCCTGAAACATCCAGAACCATCCAATAAACAGAGTGATGTTAAAAAGAAAAATCGCCGTTTCTACATCAAGGCTCATGCATTTTAATCAGAGGAACCCTCCGGGCCTCACTCAGAACCTAGTTAGTCTATTTTTAGATGTTACTCCAACCACCCTGGTGATCTGATGTCTCTGGTCTCCGCAGATGAGAAGCACGATCTTAGAAAGGTGGGAGAGAGGCACCCTGGATGAGAGCAGCTGTGTCAAATGGCATCGAGGGAGGAAGGTCCCCAGGGAGCCCCAAGGACTCAAGAAGCCTGAAGGCATCAGACAGTCCTGCTGGACAGTGTTGTCCTGCCTAGCACACCAGTCATCCATAGCTGACTTGTCTATCTGTATTTCCTGGAAGGGAGCTCCTGGCAGGCGGGACCTTTAAATGAAGGTGGCCCATATTTCCCCCAAACAGTACCCTCAGAACACTGGTCTCGACAGCCTGGTGCAGGGCAAGACCCAGAGACAATACATGTTTAATTTCTGCTTGTGAGGACTTCCCTAGAAGTCCTGTGGTTAAGACTCTGAGTTCACAATGCAGGGGGCCTGGGTTTGAACCCTGGTCAGAGAACTAGATTCTGCATGCCACACCTGAAAGACCTTACATGTTGCAACTCAGACTTGGTGCACCCAAATAAATAAATACCATTAAAAACAGAGGTGGGGACTAAGCTTCAGTTTCAAGGAAAACTGACAAGTGTTGGACAGCTGTCTCGAGGGAGGCTTCCAGTGCCCGATCTTAGTGAACTAGGGCCAGCAAGGGATGGATTTCAGAGCAAGGCATCCTGCTCATGGGGGGAGACCTGCCATCCACCTGCTGGGAGGGCTGTCATCCAGCCCGGCTGCAAAGTGGGCACCGTCCTCTTTCTGTCTCCTGGGCAGCTGTGAAGGCTGATTTCACATTTCTCCTGGAGATTCTGAGGAGCTCGTAAGACCCCCAAGAGAAGACACACAAAAAGCCGAAAGTTGCCGAGCTCTGGATCTGGGCTGCCAGGAGAAATCTCCATGTCCTTAGCATAGGCATGTTGTGGGATGCCCAGGAAGGGGGTCCATCCACTCAAGCTGGTTTCGGCAACACAGAGCCATGCCTGCTGGCTCAGGTAGGTGGGGCAGACAAGGCGTGAATTCACAGATTCTCTGACCAGCGGGTACGTGCCATGCTGGGCCGCCTCACTGCATGCCTGTACACCTCGCAACTCCAAACCACCCACGGCCCCATCCTGGTCCAGGCTCCCTGGTCAGTTCCCATGGTCACCATCGTCCTCACGCTGCAGCCTTCCTGCCCGTTTTCAGTCCGCGTGACAGAATCATCCCCAAGCCAATCATGGATTAATTGCACATAGCATATCAAATCCATTCCTTTAACCACTAATAAAAAAAAGCCATCAAGTTTTTCTGTAGTCATCTGTGTTGTACCAGCTCCTGGTGCTTTTGGATCAGGCTCTGGGGGTCCCTTGGCGGTGGTCCCTGGGGTGAGTTTTGCATTTGGGGGCTGTGACATGATGGAGGGGGAAGAGTTCCATCTGGGGCTGGCGGGTGCTACTGAGTGTGCACGTCTGTGTGTGTGTGTGTGAGCGCAAGGGATGAGTGCACCCACGTGTGGGGGTGTTTGCAGGAAAGGACACACAGGGCCCCTTGTTTATGTGCATCACATAAAACAAGGAAAGAAAAAGAGAAAACAACTAGCTATTTATAGGAAATGCAGGCGAACATCACCCTTTAGATGAAAGTAACGTTCAAATTAGTTATACTCAAAAAATTAAGGTATGACAGCTTCCCTTTCACATGACAGTTGAGCAAGGAAGAGTTTTTTTTCTTAAATATTCAAAATTGCTTGTGTGACATTATAGACTGTTTTTTCTTTTTTTCCTTAAATAAAGAGGAAAGATACAATTACAGGGGGAAACCAATAGCAGACAAGAGCTCCCTTCACTTTGAAATATATGTTTTGGAAAGGGATGTTTCTGAAGGTAGTGTCAGCCTCAAATCTCCTCAAAGGGATTTTTTTTTTCCCAACAGACTCAGCTGCTGGGGGTCCCCCAGGTGCCAGAGGGTCCATCAGGGTTCAATATCCAGTGGCCTCGGTGGACCAAGAAGGAAATGTCTCAGGTGGTGAGATGTTTATTGGTGGGCACGGGGACTGGAGGGGGGCCCCCTTCCTGTCCAGCTCTCAAAGGCTGCTTCTCCGTCTCCGTCTCCAACTGTTTCTCTCCAACAGGAGCTCAGCCCCTCCCACCCCCCATGGTTTCTTCTACTCTTGGCTTCTGCTCTAGAGAATGGTTGACTCACTGTTCGCAAGCCAAACCAGTGCTTCCCACGTCCACGTGTTCCCTTGTACAACCCCACACCCCAGGGTGGGCTCCGTCCTCTCCTGTGCAAACTCCACCCCTCCTGAGCCCATCTCAGGTCCTCCCTCCTCCACAGAGACTGTCCTTACGCAGCCAGTGGGAGGAATCCCTGGAAATGACACCTATGGAGGCAGGGGGCAGCAGGGGAGGTGGGCTGTGTCTCAGGGTATTAGACACCCTCTCTGCCATCCAATGTTCCCATCAGCATCTCACCTATCACAGGGATTGGCAGACTTTCTGCAAAGGGCCAGAAGTAGATATCCTCAGCCTCGTGAATCAGGTGGTCTCTGCTATTGCTGCTCAGCTATATTCTGGAGGGCAAAAGCAGCTTAGATGACAGGTAATGAATGTGTCCCCAAACTTTATTTATGGACACTGGAATTTGAATTTTGCATAATTTTCACCTGTCATGAATATCATTCTTCTTTGGATTTTTTCCCAACCATTAAAAAAAAAAAATGTAAAGACCACTGTTTAACATCAGAGTAATCCAACTCTATGCCCCGACCACTGATGCCAAAAAAGCTAAAGTTGACCGGTTCTATGAAGACCTACAAGACCTTCTAGAATTAACACCAAAAAAGATGTCCTCTTCATTATAGGGGATTGGGAAGCAAA